GCAATACTGAAATAAGGCACAGATTGATCATGCTGATTGATTTCAGCAGAGTCTTCACTCAATTTATCATTTTGATTCTATTTTCTCATTGCTATAGTGCAGCCACATAATTCCCAATTGATCCGCATGGAGAAGAGTACAGAGGTGACTGAGTTCCTTTTTGCAGGGTTAACCGATGACCTGGAACTACAGATCCCATTCTTCATAATCTTCTCTCTCATCTACCTCATCACTCTGGTTGGGAACCTGGGGATGATCAAGTTCATCCTGTTGGATTCTCGTCTCCACATTCCCATCTACTTTTTCCTTAGTAACCTCTCTCTGGCGGACTTGGGTTATTTGTTAGCTGTCACACCCAAGGTGATGGCAGGATCCCTCATAGGAAACAAAATCATCTCTTACAATGCTTGTGTCACCCAGCTCTTCTTCTTTGTAGTTTTTATCACTGTAGGTAACATCACTAATTGTTACAAAAATGCAAAACATAACTACAATGAGATATCGCCTTACACTCGTCAGAATGGCCACAGTTAACAAGACAAGAAACAGCAAGTTTTGGAGGTGATGTGGAGAAAAGGGAACCATCACACACCACTGGTGGGAATGTAAACTGGTGCAGCCACTATGGAAAACAGTGAGGAGATTTCTCAAAAAATTTAAAATTGAAATACCATATGATCCAGCAATCCCACTCCTGGGTATTTATCTAAAGAACATGAAATCAATAAATCAAAGAGATTTATGCATCCCTGTGTTATTCATCAGTAATGTCATCACAGTGTTATTCACAATAACCAAGATGTGGAAGCAATCCAAGTGCCCATCAACTGATGAACGAGTAAAGAAAATGTAGTGTATATATATATACAATGGAATGCTGCTCAGCCATAAAAAAGAGTAAATCATATCATTTGCGACAACATTGATGGACATTTAGGGTATTATGCTAAATTAAATAAGCCAGACAGAGAATGACAACACCACATGATTTCAATCACATGTGGAAGATAAATAAACACATGGATAAGGAGAACAGAATAGTGGTTATCAGAGGGGAAGGCGGTGGGGGCAGGTGAAAGGGGTAAAGGGCAGATAAAGGTGATGGATAAAAACTAGACTATTGGTGGTGAACATGATGCAGTCTACAGAAACTTATATATAAAAATGTACACCTCAAATTTACACAATGTTATAAACCAATATGACCTCAATAAAATAATTTTTAAAAATAGTGGACAAATACCAAAAATGTCATGAAATCCAGAAAATATCCAAATATTTTAGTAGTAAAAAGCCTGACACACTTTTACAACCTTTTTTATATTTTTTTAATATACTTTATTTTTAAAAGCTTTAGGTTCACAGCAATGTTAAGCAGAAGGTACAGAGATTTCCCATAGAACCCTTGCCCCAACACACGCATAGCCTCCCCCATTATCAACATTTCTCACCAGAGTGGTACATTTGATACAAGTGATGAAGCTACATTGGCACATCATTATAACCTAGAATCCATAGTTTACCATAGTGTTCACACTTGGTGTTGTACATTCTATGGGTTTGAACAAAATTATAATGACATATATCTACCACTACAGTATCATACAGAGTAGTTTCACTGCCCTACAAATCTTTTGTGTTCGAACAATTTACAATCCTGCTTAAATATATTTTGCTGAGTTCTCTTCAATCATCTCTTTATATGACAATGACTCTGTAAGATCATTTTCTATAATGAAAAATAGAAAGATAATTCCATCTTTACTCTAGCCTGGTTGTTTGAATTTTTAAAAATTATGATTGGTAGTTTAGGAAAATTTCTTTCAGCTTCATAACTTGTTATTGGTAATATTCTGTAAAGTTTTGACTGCTGTCAAATTTGGAAAACTTCTCTGGGGGAGAACTTTCATTTTGTCTAGGATTCGATGAGAATAAAATCTTCCACTTATGATCTTAAAAAAAAGGATTCTCTCTTTGTCTTTAACTTTTAGTAGTTTGATTATAATGTGTGGGTCTCTTTAAGTTCATCTTACTTGGAGTTCTTTGAGCTTTTGGATGTTTATATTCATATCTTTCATTAAATTTGAGGAGTTTTTAGCCATTATTTTTCAAATGGCCTCTCTGCCCCTTAATCTCTTGTCTTCTAGGACTCCCACAATGTGTGTGTTGATCTGCTTGATGGTGTGTCTCAGGTCTGTAGGCATCATTCACTTTTTTCAATCCTTTCCTCAATTTCTCAGAATCAATAATCTCCATTGCCCTATCTTCAAGTGGCTGATTCTTTCTTCTACCTGCTCAAATTTGCCTTTGAATCCCTCTAGTAAATTTTTTATTTCAGTTACGGTATTCTTTAGCTTCAGGATTTCTTCTTGGTTTCTTTTTAGGTTTTCTGTCTTTATTGATATTTCTGTCTTGGTCATGCATTGTTTTCTTGACTTTCTCTACGTCTTCGTTTAGTTCTTTGAGCATTTTTAAAACAATTGTTTCAAAGTCTTTGTCTAGTAATATGCCATCATGTCTTTTTGTGTGTGTGTGAGGAATATTAGCCCTGAGCTAACCTCCCTTGCCAATCATCCTCTTTTTGCTGAGGAAGACTGGCCCTGGGCTAACATCCATGCCCATCTTCCTCTACTTTATATGGGATGCCACCACAGCATGGCTTGAAAAGCAGTGTGTAGGTCCATGCTTGGGGTCCAAACCCACGAATCCTGGGCCACCGAAGTGGAGCACGCAAGCTTAACCACTACACCGCAGGCTGGCCTCCATCATGTCTTTTTTAGGGACGGTTTCTGTTGATTTATTTTTCCCTTGAATTGGACATACTTTCCTGTTTCTTTGTATGCCTTATGATTTTTTGTTTAAAACTGGGCATTTGAATCTAACAATGTGGTAATTCTGGACGTCAGATTCTCCCCTTTCCCCAGGGTTTGCCGTTTTTTGTTATTGTTTTTGTTTTTTGATTGTTGTAGGCTATCTCTGTGCTGAAGATCACCCTGATGTGTAAACTTAAGGTCTTCTGAGGTCTTTTCTGAGCTTTCTCCTGGACATGTGTTGTCACTTCCTAATTGTCTCCATATATGCAGCCGTTTTTTAGTGTGCTAGATGTTAATGTCTGGCTCCCACAAGGGGAAAAGGAGAAAAATTAAGGGAGGAATTAAAAAAGGCACCAGCCACTTTAAACACACTGGAAGTCACTTCAGCTAAAGGACAAGGGGCTTGAATCAATAGAGGGAGGTGCAACAACAGTGGCTGCCTACCTTTCTGCTTGCACGTCTGTGATCAGAAGCAGCTGTCACAGCACAAATTCCCATTATTTGGAGAAGAGAGTCCTTTTTGCCCACCTTGTCTCTTGCAGGCTGTGTACAAGCTGCTCCATGAACACATGCACAGCATCTTGTCACATGGATGAGTGTGGGAAACAGGTAGCAGCTGCTGTGCTAAGAGCTGAAATTAACCAAAATTAACCACAATTTATCATCCAAGTATTCCCCTGGAAGTTGCAAGCCTTCAATAGCCTCCAGAGTTCCCAAATAGTTACATCAGACAGATTCTGCCAGTGTAATTATCTAGGTGAGGAGAAAGATTCTTTGTGCTTTCTTTTCTAGCATCTTCCCAGAATCCTATCCTCTCCAACTCCTACCTATGAGAATATATGAGATTTTCTTTAGGATACACAGAGATAATTCAGGATAACCTCTAATCTTAAAATTCTTCATTTAATCACTTCTGAATAGTCCCTTTTTGCAATATAAATTAGAGTTCATAGGTTCTAGGGATTGGGCCATGGATCTTTTGGCACTCTACTTTTAGCCTGTTGCAAGATTATATACAAACATTCTGTCCTATTTTTGAATATCTTGTGTAACCTAAAATAGTTGTAGAATTAATGAATCATTTACATATAATTAGAAACAGTTCCAAGAGGAGAAACGTTACCATAAAGACCAAAATGAATATTTGTGTTAAACTATACTGACCCACACATACCACCATAGGAATCTTAGGACACTCAAGCACAATCTTACTAATATTGAGATGTTGACATCTATTTTATGGAGATAACAAATTAGAGATGGGTGTACTTTCCTGTGGGTAAGTTTTGGATAATATTGGACTTCCTCAGGATCAAAATTAAATGCATACAGATTGCTCATTATACTAATATATTGAATGCATATTGTCCTTATTACTTACAGATGCTGTCTTATTTATATTTATATGGACTTTTAGAATAATTTCAGTTAATTATAATTCGTATGCATGCAGAAATTTTCCAATTGAAAAATGTTTTTATTTTCCCTCTATTTTTCTTCTACCCTGGCTCTTTTATTCTTTCAAAAGTTGTAATGTGAACATGGTGATTGTATAAAATGACTCAGTCAAGACAAAACAATTAATTTATTTCAGAGGTTATATTTATGTATCTCTAAATAAAATGTGTCAATGGAAAAGCAAATACTTTTATTTAAGAGTTTATCACTTTATTTTCAAATTAGGACACTTGGAACACATTTAACAAAACAAATAAATACCATTATACATAAATTTATGTTCTAATACTCCAATTAATTAGTTAAATTATTAAAATCAAAAACTATCCACATTTCATCACACACGGCAAATTTCCCACTCCTATATAAAGCACCCATACGAGGCACATGCATGCACTTCTGCTCATGGGCTCATTTGTGCCCCTGTTTTATGTTTATGTTTATAATGGCATGTGATAGAGCAAATACATGCAGAATGAGTCAAATATCCTTAATAAGGTTTTTTGACAAGCAGGACAGAAGATGTCTTATGATTCACCTTAGCCATTCTCATTCAGGTATTATATTTCTTGACATAATATTTCCCTTTTTCTAGACAACAAACTTTTGAAGAGAGAGGGTATCACTTAAGGAAACTAACTTCAATGTGGGCCTTAAAATATGACTCAGTGCATGGAGAAGATATGAAAGAAATGAAACTAGGTTACTGTGAATTCTACGACTTTAAAATCACAAACCTAGAGACAATTTTGCCTCCAAAAGAACCTTCAAGAATGCCCTCTTTACCTCCTTGTTCCTCAGGCTGTAGACAACAGGGTTGAGCATGGGGATGATCATAGTATAGAACACGGATGCTGTTTTGTCTGTGTCCATGGAATGACTGGAGCTGGGCTGGGAGTACATGAAGATGCCTGTCCCATAGAAGATGGAGGCTGCAGTGATGTGGGAGGCACAGGTGGAAAAGGCCTTCCCACGTCCTTCAGATGAGGACATCCTCAAGATGGTGACACATATCAATAGGTAGGATATCAAGATGACCAAGAGAGCAAAAAAGACATCGAAGCTGGCTACATGAACAAGAACCAGCTCACTCGCATGCCTATCAGAGCAAGACAGAGCCATGACTGCTGGAATATCACAGAAAAAGTGATGGACCACATTGGACATACAGAAAGAGAGACAGAATGTGTTCCCCACATGAATGGAGGCATTCAGGAAACCACAGACATAGCAGCCTAGGATCAGACGTGCACACACACTTGTCGTTATGGTGGTGGTGTAATGTAGGGGTTTGCACACTGCTGCGTAGCGATCATAGGCCATTGACGCCAAGAAAAAATTTTCCATAGTGGCAAATGCTGCAAAAAAGAACATCTGAGCAGCACATGCATTGTAAGAGATGACCTGGTCTACTGTAATAAACCCCGCCATGACCGTGGGAGTGACAGCTGAAGAGTAACACAAGTCTACCAGAGACAGGTTACTGAGGAAAAAGTACATGGGAGTGTGTAGATGTGAGTCCATGAGAATCAACAGGATCATCCCCAGATTTCCAACCACATTGGCGAGATAAATGAGAGTGAACATTATAAAGAGGGGGACCTGCAGTTCTGGGGCATTGATTAGTCCTAGGAGGATGAAATGTGTCACTTCTGTCATATTGTCCATTGATGTTATTTGAGAATCATGAGAAGTCCTGAAGCAAAGTGAAATGAAAGACGAGTGTTAAGTGGAAATTGAAACATGTATATACCATGTGCATTATTTCATTACAGCAATAATATATATTTCTAGATTCTCCATAACTGAAGCATGAGCTTAGCCACAAAATTTAGTACATAAATTATCTGCAGAGTTAAAAAATTTGAATTGGAAGATCTTTATGGATTATGTCCTCAGTTTAAAATTTTTTTTATTCATAAACTGAGATTTGGAAAATTGAATGACTTGTCCAAGATGATGTCTGAGATGTTATATTCAATTTTCCTATCCTAGTCAAAGTTTACACTACTACATTGCTCATATGCCAGGACTGCTCTAGACACTTTTCATGTATATCCATTGATTTCTCTCAGCAATATTATGAGGTTGATTAGCTGTTACTTTCCTTTAAAGTTGTATGAGGCACAAGATACTGAGTAATTTATGCATGTTTACACATTAATGGCAAGCCAAGCTTTGGATCCAAGTAGAGTGTTTCCTATGTAAAATGATATTAGTTGAATTTAAATCGAACCAAATTTGACTCAACTTACAATTACTCATTGTCTCCATTGGTCCAAACTCAGTGTTTGGGGTTTAACAGTGAGGCAACTGAGACTTACATGCACAGTCCATGTGGTGGCACACCTGGAGCAGTAGGGGCATGTACAACCAGGGAGGCAATTCTGAGGGGAAAGCAAGGGATCAAATATAGAGCTTGGGCTTCAGGATGCAGTGCATGTCAGCCCTACCACTCACTACCTAGGAATCACTAATACTAACCTACCTCCCCTGAGCTTAATTTTATCCATTTACAAAATGATGATAGTAATGAGATCTAACTAAAAGTATTATTGTAAGAATTAAACAAGATAACGCATTAAAAAAACAATGAGTAAAATATTGAGGGTTTGGTATAACATGATTAATGTTAGCCATAATATTATTTTTAGGATGGAACTGTGGTCTCTATGTTGGTTTGGAAAAGGTGGGTGGCGACACACAGGGCTTCAAGTGTGAGTGAATTTTGAAATCTCTTACCCTCCTTCTTCAATTTGCCCTTTCTCATATCGTAGGACCACGAGATTTTCTGTGCTCTCCAGTAACTTCCACTCTGTCCTTGCTCCACTCATACAATTGGTTGCTTTAGCCTTTCTATGTAGCCATTTGTTTTAATTTATTCCTTAATTTATCTTTTAAATTGCATTAAAACTGTCTCCTTCTCTTAAACTCTTTCTTTTTTTCATTTACTGTCATCCCATATTTGAATCCCAGAGATGGATGGTGAAAGTTCATGGTTCGTGGCTTGCCTTTAGCCTACAGATCTCTTTTTGTGGCAAACTACGTGTTGTTATATATTTTATATGAATCTGTTTTTGTATAGGAACAGTATTTTAATTCTTTTTATTTGAATCTGAATCCTTTAGAAGGGCATCCATTGAATGCTGACAATTATTTCCTGCCATCTTCCTCCTAAACTTTTGGAAACTTCACTTTACAAGACTAGCCCATGACTGCATTGTGTTAGCCCACCTTAACATAAATAACCACTCTTAGCATATACTGTGTGCTACAACAAATGCTAAGTGATTTATATATATAAATATGTGTGTGTAAGGTTGGTAGTATACTTATTATTTTACCATTAAAGAACTGATGACTTGTGAAGTTAGGTAATGCTCTACGATTACACAGCTAGTATAAACATTTAAACCCATTTTTGACCTAATCAGAAGCCTATGTCTTAGCCACATCACTGACAACATGTGTAGATATGCTAGAAATAATAAGGATGAACTTCTGGGAGAAATGTGAAAACAAAATTTAGATTTTGCTGTTTCACTTTGGTACCTTTTGTAGTTTAAATGAGGGTCATTTCACTCTCTTGTTTTTTCCCTTTACCTCCAATAAGAGGCTGACATATAGGGAACAAGACAAAATTACCACCTAATCATAGCATCATCTGTAGTAATTCTTTCATTAATCTTTATAGAGGAGAAGCACAATGATGTTTCATAAGTATCATCTAACTTTCTACTATGGAAGTTTTGACATTTACTCACCAGCTTCAGTTTTTAAGGAAAACATTCAAAACTTCTATTTCTGTACTCAAAAAATCATAGTAGGTGTAGCTACACCACTGCTCTTGCATGAATTATTGTTTCCACTTAAAGCATATATTGAAGATAAAAGCTTACCGTGTTGCTTAAAAAGAAGTGACAGTCAATCTTCAATAGCAGATTTGAAATAAAAAATTCAGCCATGGACTAATGCACAAATAGTGTTAGAGAAGCTCTCTCAAGTAGTGGTCAAATGTTCTGCAGTCTCTAAGGCAGAGAATACTGGAGGAAAGAACATTAACATGGATTCAAGTCCTGAATCAACTCTGCAATCTTTCTGTGCCTTTGGAGGGGCCACTTATCTCTTCATTTGTAAAATGAACGTAATAAAATTACCTATCCCACATAATCCAAGGAATTGTATATGTAAATAGCAAATAAGGAAACATCGATAAAATAACCTGGTGAGCTAGGGGGTTATCATTTTAAAATCACTCAATATAATTTTTACTTTGGAGTGTTTCCTTGGCCATGGCTGCAGGCTCATAGGAAATCTTAAGATTGTGAGAAGGTCTGCATATGCAAACAACTATCAACATTCAGATGAACACGTGATGATCAAAGAGGCTAGGACTAAAATCTGGTCCCTCTGAAATAAAGTCACCTGGAGTTATGTTGGATTTCAGATGCTAATGAATGGAAACACACAGTGAATTATAGAGACATGGAACTCTCAGGAGATGTGCCTAATGAGAACATCTACAGCTTCTCTTTCCACTTTCCTAGGGAAGAAGTAATTAAACTGCCTGGCAGACCAAGTTGGATATTTTGAGTGTGCATGTATGTTTTTGCATTGTTATTTCATATTATTTTTATTTTTAATTAGTATACAAGGAACAAATAGCAACGTGCTCACTTTTCAGCATGTAGTTCTAATAATTTGATCGTTAATCTGCATGTAAAGTCATGTAACCACTACCACAACCACCCATAATAAATTTCCCTGAGCTTCTTTGTAGTCAACACTTTCTCCGACCCACTGCCCTTCATAACCACTAAACTGTTTTCTTCTACATAATTTTGCGTTTTCAATAATGTCCCTAGCTAGAAACCGAGAATATGTAGTCCTTGATTCTGGCATCTTTCACTTAGCATAATTCAACTGAGGTCCATCCATACTGTTACATGTACCAATAGTGGAATTTTTTAATTGCAGAGTAGTATTACATAATATGAACTTTTTACTTTGTGTTTTTCTTTCTTCAGTTGTGGACTTTTAGTGTTGTTTCCAGTGTTTAGTGACTACGAATAAAGCCGATCTAAACATTGGCTAAGATTTTTGTGTGAACATAGGTTTTATTCCATTTAAGTAAATGTCTAGGAGTTGGATTGTTTGGTCATTTGGCAAATATACTTAATTGAATAGAAAGTGCCAAACTGTTTATGGAAATGGCTCTATCAACTTCAATTTCCAACAACAAACACATTCTAATTTCTTCACATTTTTGCAGAAGTTGATATTTTAAAAATTTTAATTTAGAGATCTTGTGTCAAGATGCCAGTGTAGGCTGACTCTGAACTCACCTCATCCCACACACACAATTTTACAACTACTCTTGGAACAATTACCCCTGAGAGAGATCTGAAAACTGGATAAAAATAATCCCCACAACAAGGGACAGTGCTGACTGAGGGGTAAGAGGAAGAAATTCCTTTCTGGAGAGAAAAAAGCTACCTTCTAGCCACAGTGCATCATGGCTGGCTGGGAACAATCTTAAGGTATAAAGCCTTCCCTGGGGGATCAGAGTGGGGGAGCTTTACTACATTTAGCAGCTTTTGAACTCAGCACAATCAAGACAAGTGTCATAATATCAGGCATTGATGGTTATTAACAACAATGGGGAATACATCCAGAAAAGTTTTCAGACATAGGGGAAAAGAAAAGCCTGCTCTTATAGGGCCCATGCACAAATTCATCCATTTCAGAAAGCAACCTAAAATCACCAGAAAGAAAGTTGCACAGTCCTTATGTGAAAAGAGACTCATTTGATAGGCTCTGGGTGCATCTTGGTGAGAGGTGGGACCTCCCCAATCTGGGACCATCTCCCCAGGGATTGAGACATTGGCAGCAGCCATTATTGTGACCTACTACAGGCATGCTGACACTGACACTGGCAGATGCCATTGGAGTTCTCCCTGGGGCCTGCTAGCCCAGGGTCTGCCCCACCCACTAGAGCACTGATTTAATCCAGCTCAGCCAGGGCAGGCAGCCTACCCTAGGGACTGGCCCCACCCAACAGCAAGCCCTTCGGCAACTTGTGGGCCCACATAGGCATGGTGCCTGGAACCTGTGCAGCTTGGTGAGTGAGTCTGACTCTATAGGGCAGGGCACTCATGAGGAGAGGGCCTGCCTTGATGGAGTGTGTGGGACCTCTGCAGCAGGGCAACCAGAACTGCTTCAGTGGGTCAGAGTGTGTGCACAGGCTTGTCAGCTGCAGCAGACTTGTGCTTCTCAAACAGCCACAGAGGGGATCAGCCCCATCTTCCAAAGCCTGAAAAAATTGGATACTCCCATGCCTGGGGCCAGCGCCACTCAGCTGCACTCCTGAGAGAGCTGGCAACAGCCTTGCAGGCCAGAGGCCTACAGCAATTGTAAGCCCCTGAGCCTATCAGACAGCCACACTTGGGGCCTACTCACTTAATAGAAAAACTGCAGCAGGAATATGCTATAAGACCTTGCAGCCAACTGTGCGGGGACTCCCCACACCCTATAAAGTGACTGAAGGCACCATAGCAGCCACACGCAGCTGAGCATTACAACCAGCCAGCCAGGAGGATAGCCTAGACTCCCTGGGCACCTGCAGCAAGAACAACCCAGCCACAACAGAAGGACACATGTAGCCCACA